TCCTATCTCCATACCTTTCAACCTCCAAATAAATATGTACTAAAAATTAAAGGCAGTAATAATAAAAACAAAAAATAAATTAGGTCTTCAACTTAAATTGTAGCCAACTTACTATGGAGTCATAGGAATGGAACCCCTTGTAGTCCAGTGACTGCTTGTACACATGTGTACATGTGTATGTATATGTGTATACACACATATAATAGAAACATGACACATCATCTATGTTGTTATGTACTGTTGAGTCAGAACGGACTCATAGCTGAGCCTCCAGGGGGTTTTCAGAGGCAGTAAATTGCGCAGGAGGAGACTGCCCATCTTTCTCTCACATGGTGGCTGGCGGATTCAAACCACATGACTTTGGGCTGGTAGTGCAATTCCTTAACATTAAGCCACCAGAGCTCCCTATACATGTGTGTGTATATATAGACATATGCCATATCTGTGTATATTCAGTTACTTGCTATGCATCTGAAAGTTGGACAATGATTAAAGATGACAGAAGAAGAATCAATGCTTTTGCGTTGTGGTGTTGGGAAGAATATAGAATATCCCAGGAGAACAAAACAAATATGTTACAGAGAAAGTGCCACAAGGGTGCTCCTTGGAGGCAAGGATGATGAAGCTTAATCTCACATATTTTGGGCATTTTGTCAGGAGGGACTGGTCTTTGCAAAAGGACGTCATGTTGGGAACAGTGGAGGGCCAGCAGAAGATAAGAAGACTCAGTGAGATGGGCTGACACAGTGACTATAACAACGGGTCGGAGTGTATCAGAGACGAGGATGGCACAGGATAGGGCAGGGTTTGGATTAATTGTTCACAGGATCGCAGTGCATTATGGTTTATTTGATGGTATTTAACAACAACAACATGAGTATAAGTGTGTGAGTGTGTACATATAAGAGTAAGTGTGTGCGCACACGTGTGTGTATGACAAGGCTTCATTAAGTGACTCAGAATGGAAACGAGTTGACTATCCAGCACAAAGATATCAACAGGAAGAAGCTGCAGTAATTAGAGACTTCCCCCGAGGACGCTGTAAATTATCTTCTAACTGCTCATCAAAAAGGGATCGTGGGTTCAGAGTTAGCGAGTCCATGACACCAGATCCTGACGTTTCTCAGCCCACAACCCAGAGATGTGGCCCTGTGAAGGGCATCTTGGCTAGTTAGAGAAGCAGCTTAGCAACAGAGACACGAGGTGTTCTGTTAGTGCACCCAGACACCCGGCAGTCACCACGGTGTTCCACGGAGGAGGACGTGGCTCCTGAGTCAGGACCCACGATGGGAGAGTGCTCACGCAAACAGCACGAGGTGCTACCATCAAGAGCGTCAGCAGCCTAGGGAGGGGTACAAATGAGGTGATGTCTCTGCTGTGCCGACTTGGCCAAAAGCAAGTCCCAACAAATCTGCAGCTGCCCCCTGCAGAATCTCATTTCAGAGAGATCCAAATGAGCTCATCCTTCACGTTCCCAACAGGGCCTCACCCGGATGGAGCTGTGGTCAGGGAGTCTGTCTGTCTGCGGACACCCAGAGTCACTGAGAGGCCTGCTCCACAGGCAGGAGGCCCCAAGGCCCCATCTGGGTGGTGAAAGCTGTGATGCCAGGTGTGACTCACCTCTGGGTCCTCAGGAAAGATGTTGTCAACCAGCCTCTTGTACCTGGGGCGTAGGGCGCCACAGCAGCCACATACACCTGGAACGAGAACAAGAAAACCCTTGAGCAAAGTCTCCTGCTCATCCTGGGGAGACCCAGGAACCAAATTCAGGCTGTTCCGTCTCCTAGACCCTGCTAGGGCCTTAGCCTTCCCTGGAGTTGACTTTCCCCCTGCTTCCCTGCCCTCAAATTCCAAGATATTTGCCATTATCATTTTATCACTTTTGCTGGGAGTCAGGCAGAGTGGTGTGAGGGCAAAACCACAAACAGGCACGTTATCATGTCAGGTTAGTAGAGCAAAGTGTGAAGGGTGAGGTGTCTATGAATGGTAGCATAACATCGAGCTGTGCCCACATATCCTACAATGTGTATATGTACACACACACACACACACTACCCACCCCAAATACACTCTCTCTTTCTCTTCTGGATGGAATTAAAAACTGTTTCCCGCAATTCAAGAACCTCTCTGGGGCACCTGTGCAGATGGGCTCCGTGGAGGGGACAGTAACTGCACCTTATTATTTCCTTCATTATCCCCCCCCAAGTTCCTCTACTGTCTGCCCCTCAGTCTTCCTCTATCATCCTCTCTCCTGGGAGCATTTCCATTACAGAATGTTACGTGAAACTACGATAAATTAACATTACCATTAATTATTAACATTTGAAAGTGCATCTTTAATGCAGTGTGACCGTGGTATTTGAGAGTGGTAGCATTTTAGAGTCGGCCAGGACCTTAAGGGCATCCAGTTCATGGTTCTCAAATGCCAGCCTCTGATGAGGTTCTCACCAGAATGGGGCAAAATGAGGCGGGGGAAAGATAAGGACGGGTGCATGCAGTATGTTTCAGGATGCCAAATTTATTCCATCTACAAGATCACCTGAGATCACATCTTTCTTGGGCATGACTGTTCTCACACTGGTCCCCAAACATGCTGTTGTTATTTAAAAGAATAAGAAAACCAAACACCTAACCCCTTGCCATAGGGTTGGTTTTGACTCACAGCCCCCCTTCCTTAGGGAACTCTGGTGGCCTCGTGCTAAGGAGCTGCCCTCCCAAAGGCGTGTGGTTTGAAGCCACCAGCTGCTCTGCAGGAGAAGGATGGGCAATCTCCTCCGAAAACCTGCTGGCAGATCAGCTGTGAGTCAGTTCTGACTTGATGGTACACAACAACCACGCCTTCATTGGGTTTCCTAGACCGTAAATCTTTAGGAAAACAGACTGCCCTCTTCAACTCAAATCACTGCTGTGGAGTTAGAACCAATGCGCATGTGCTGTGAAATGATGGTGGTAAAACAGATGCTAATAAAATCAACTCTGGCAAGAGAAAAAGTTGAGGACTCTAGGTGCCATCATAAAAAAAAAAAAGTTTCTGATTAATAAAGCGAATTGGAAAGTATGGGAGCCTTGCTCGCCTTCAACTTTTCTTCCCTGCAGAAATCTTCCCCTCATCGCCCCAGCATGCCGCAGGGATGGCAGGAAGGCCAGTGAGAAACTGGGAAAGTCCACTCTTCTTCCACCAAACAATCCCCCCACCGCCCCCACCCCGTTCTACCAATTAAAAATTAATTCTGTTTGTACACGTTCTCTACTTAAAATGCAAATAGGCTCTGGAAAGATTAAGCCGGTGGGTCATTCAGAAAAGAAAGAATTGCTTTTGTGGGAATTATGATAATCACACAAAGAGCTTTACTGGGGCGGAGAAAAGCAACTCTGATTGCAAAGAGGTGCAGGGTGGGCATACCAGGAGGGAGAAAGATATGCAGGGTTTGGCTCTAGGACTGATTTGGGTATTAGGGGCTCACTTGGGGAGGTCAAGGGGCAGTTTGAGGACCACGGGCACCCTGAGGGCAGGATTCTGCCATTCTGAGTCTCTCCCTGGCACTCAGGCTGCTGAGAGATATGTTCTTCGGCTAGAACTGCTGCCCTCAGTGAGGGTGAGGAAGCCTCAGCTCACCTGGTGCAGCTACAGCGACACTTCTCAAGGATGCCCAGGTCATGTGAGCAGGCTCTTTCCACAGCCTCCCACATACACTCTCTCAAACATGACCCCCACCCGCTCTTTACAATTAAGAAGGGGGGAAACAGACAGACTAGAAATATATCCCAGAGTCAAATTCTTCCTCAAATCTTTTCAGAAGGCCCATGAACTGAGCTTTCACTGGACAGAGGCCCACCTCACCGCTGCTGGGAAGCTAGACTGTGAAGCACAGCATTGCTGTGGGAATCCAGGGCAGGAATTACTAAGGGGACACACAGGGGCATCGATGCTGCCCGGGAGGTAAGGAGACTTCACAGAGCCTGCAGGCCTGGCTAGTGCTGGTCTGTGGACACCACTGCGGTTTCCTCCCAGTTGGCAATGCTGGCCCCTCTCCTGTCCTCTGCAGGGTAAAGCACTTTTCTTTGGTCCCTCCTTCTCCAGTCTACAGCCCTTCCTGGGAAGACCCCCTCCAAGCACTGGGCCTCCTGGAGCCACTAGCCCTGCAGTGGGAACCAGCCACATTCAAGGCGCACCGGCATGGAAGAAATGAGGCCAAAAGAGAGGTGAGTGCTCGGCTGCTAACGAGCAGAGTCAAGGCTCAGGTCCCTAACCCGCAGAGTGGTATCTGTTTTTTTATGTTCTTAAAATCTCTATGGATGCCACCTGGGTGTTGAAAGCAAGTAAAACTTGGCTATTCACCAAAATCATGTACGGTTTGTGTCCACACAGGGGTGAATGGGAAGAAAGGCTTGGTGAGCTACTTCCAGAAAAACTAGCCATGGAAAACCCTCCTGAGCGCAGCCCAACTGACCCATGGGGGATCCATGAGTCATGGCTGATGCAACATGTGGTCTAAGGCTTTTCACAAGGGTGGAGGCATCGTGACATGCGTTGGGCATTTCCTGCCTCGCTGTCCTTTCTTTCCAACCCCCACAGATCCTCAGAGGGCAGGGACTGGTGAGGCACAGTGGTCAACAGCTGTGAGCATTGAATCAAAGCTGGCCACCGCTGCTTCCCAGCCGTGTGATTGCACAAGGATTCTCTATGTACGTGTGTCCTTCTCATTAGTAGGGGCACAGAGCTCACCACCAGGGTAGCAAGGCAGGGCCTGGTGGGATCCCTTCAAAGCTGGCTGTATCTATCACCCCCTTTTTATCCCCTGGGCACAGCTGGGTCTTTTGAGGAATGTTGGCTGGTTACTGTGGGACGTCTCAGTGGGGCTGCCCTCACTGACCACTTACTCGGTACCACTGGTGAACGCTGATGGAGGCCCAGGAAGGTGGACTCCAGAACATGGCGCCAGAAGATCTCACTCACTGGGGTGGGTGTTGCAGCACCGCCACTCTCGAAGGTAGCTCGATGCACTCACTTACAAGTAACCGACACTGAACCTCCATCAACGCAGGCCACGGCCACGTTCCCAAACCCAGAACCCTGAGACTCCACAGCCTCCCCCTCAGCATCAACTCTAAAAACCCCAATTCAAATGAGACACAGTATGGAATGACAGGTAAACTAGAGTCAAATGTTGCTGAAATGAAGCAAGGTGTGAGGCCTGGGGAGAATGCAGGGGGGGGGGGAAAGAAGGAGAAAGGGTGGGGAGTGGAGAGAGAGAGAGAGAAACTCATGCTATCTGCACTGCAGTAAGGGATTGAAAGCACGTGCAGGAGAAGTGCAGACTCTGGAAAGCAGAACTGTGCTGAATCTCTGGAACCGTGCTGTTTCAAACACGACAACGTGAGTGGTGTTGATGCTTGGGAAAGCAGAGGGTCAGCAAACGTGAGGAAGGCTCTCAGCAGGATGAACTGACAATGATTTCAAAAGGAACTGAAACACAGTGGAGATTTGGGGGGAAGGTGTGAGAGTGGACAGGGTTCCTTCAATCCACTGCATATTGGGTTGCTATGTGTTCACTGGATGGTGCCACCACCACCACAACAACAAATACCATAAAGAGAGTCTCAAGGACCAAAAGATACCTGAAATCATGTCTACCCAATGCCTTGCTTTCATACTCACAGTACAAACTGGCACATTAAAACCTCTGAGAAATACTATGGAAAAGTAGCCTATTTGAATATGTTTAAATGAACATATTTCCATTTTTCACTCAAAATCCCTCAAGTTGGCCACCTCAGTGCTATTCCCAGCATGGAGGTGTCACAAGCCCACTATAAACTTTCCTGATTAGTAAGAGGTATTTAAAAGTCCAAAGAGGAGAGAGGAGGGGCTGAGAAGCCTGAGGGTGGGGAGGGGAGAAATCACAGCCTCGCAGAGTTTGGAGGGTGAGGCAGGGGCTAGAGGAATTAGGAGAGATCCAGTGAGGATCTGAAAAGGTGGGGCAGGAGTGGGCATAAATCAGTGGTGATTCATTTTAGAAAGCACAATATATGGGAATGATATATGGAACACAATGTGGATAAAGGAATTCAATGTAGACAAGTAAGACACAATGCATAAACAATACTCACATACACATGCACAAAAAACCTAACCAAAATATCATCTCACTGCCATCATGGCTGACCCTCTACTGGGTTTCCAAAGCTGAAAATCGCAGGGGGGTTACACAGTTGTAAAGTAATTACCACTGTGATGTGGACCTTCAACAGTCTTCTCTCGGAAACAGTTCTTGTCTATTAGGTGGAGGATAGAAAAATATATGATACTGAAAATGTAATACACTGAGGATTGTGCCAACATCAGAGTTGACAAGTACTGCATTCAAGACCTGGCCCTGCCATTGCACTTTGAGACTCAGTTTCCTCATCAATAAACTAAGAGGACAAGATTTTCTCTAAAATAGTTTTATGATCAAAGTTACAGACCATCTGCCACAGAATCTAGAAAGGGGGAGATCTTCTTCCTAGAGGAGAGGGGGAGCAAGAAGGGGTCATACATGTGAAGAGACAGCAGGGTGCTTTACCCCCGTGTTGTCAGCTTCAGCTCCAAAATACACTGTGTCAATCCATTCACTTTATCTTTACGACAACCCCCAGGAGTAGGCACTATTTTTATCCCCATTTTACCGATGTGGAAATCGAGGCACAAAGATGT